TTGCGGCAATTCGTCACGTATATGTACAATTACAGGATTAGATACTTTGTGGAAATCAAAAGAGTAGTGTAGGTAGGGCATATTGCTTTTTCATCACCAATAGAAAAGTGAATGAAGTTGAACCTGTTGAGGAAATATTTTCAATTGAATATTAACATATTTTAGTTTATGTTTTACTAGGTAAATTTTTTCGGCTTCCGATATTTTGTTACAGTTCAAGCTAAAGTAGATGTACAATGATTTGTGCTTTACCAAATTGTGGACGGTTACTGTGTGCTGGTTTTTTCTACTTTTTAACTGGGGTTGAATATGCTGTCATTCTACCGACATTAAATGAATATCTTATATATATGGATGGACCTACAGGTTTTCTTGGAATTATCATGTCAGCTTTCAGTCTCGCTGGAGTTGTGTCAGCACCCATATTTGGACGAATAGCTGATAAGACAGGCGCAAATAAATTGTGCGCCGTGGTTAGTTGTTCATTTGGAATCGTGGGAAATTTTCTGTACTTTGTAGGCAGAGATTACAGAATATTATTGGGGGCGAGACTTATAGCAGGACTTGGAGTGGGAGCCAGCTCTTGTTATCTCGGCATGATTTCAAAGACAACAACAACAAAGCAGAGAACCGGAGTTATATCAATAATGGCATTCATGAGGGAAATAGGTGTCATTATCGGGCCTGGTTTCAATTTGATTTTAGATAAATTAGATTTCAGGCTTGGCCCGTTTCCTGTAAATAAATTATCTTCTCCTGGACTTCTTCTGGCCATTGTGTGGATGATACAAACATTGATCGTGCTAGCCTTATTTAAAGACGTTACTGAGAAATATTCAAATGAAAGCGTTTGTGAGCCAGTACCGAAACATAGTAACTATATACATAAAACTGTATCCAAAAATTCGACGTCAACAAATCAGCCCCCAAAAAGTTTTCGGGACGAATTTTTTCGAAAAGAAGTTCTTGTTTGCCTTTTGCTAAACTTTAACGCATGGATGTCGGTGACCTGTTTAGACTCAGCTATAACGCAAATGACTTTACTCTTTTTCGACTGGGGAGGGATAAAAAATAGTTTATTATTTTGCGCTGGTGCTATTTCAGTTTTCATATCTTATGCTGTAATTGGTATTGCTAACAGAAAAGTGAACGACAGAGTTATTTTGCTGATTGGATGGTTTGGTGGAACATTGTGTTATCTAATACTCAATGTTTACTCCACTGTTTTATATTTCCAAAATAATGTTGGCCAGGCTAATTGGCTCTTGCCACTATTTTGGACTGATTGGTTCATTTTGACAATATCATTTCCGCTTACGTATATTACTATAATTTCACTTTATTCAAAGATTACTTCTATCGAAACACAAAGTTTTAATCAGGGAGCATTATTAATGTTTGCTGGCGCTGGCAGGATTGTTGGCCCGTTGTTGTCAACCTCAATGGTAACTATTGAACGTTTGCCTATTCTGAGTGGCGTGGTTCTGTTTTTAATGCTCTTGTCACTGATTGTATTGTGTTTTACATACAAAACACTCCTCCCGGTAAAAACATCCACTCAAAAGAATGATTCAACGTCCGACAAAAAAACAGTCAAGGGTGAGAAAACGTCGTTATTGAACATGAACGACCAATAAAGTTTTCGATGAAAGTTACCACAAGAGAAAAACTACTGAAAAAACCAAAAAGATTGTTTTTCTACAATCCTCAAGCCTTGAAGGGGGACAATGTAGAAGTTTTAATCTATCATGATTAAAGTGTCTGTTAAGCAATGCTAAGAAAGAGCTTTTATCGAAGTCATTTCAAGCATTTTAAATCAACTTCCCAACACCCGATTTATACGGCGCAAGGTTGCCGGGGAATGATGCTCAATAATAAACTAAATCTCCACATAAATGTTTGCACATTATATTCTGATTTCACTCGCGAAGTTGTTTGCATCTGTTACAAACCTACATGCAGAGAGGAATGTGATACTTTAAATAGCTATGTATTGTTGTCGCTATTTTAATATTAGCTTGGTTTTAAAGAGATTGGATGTCATTTCCTCTGTCGATTGCTTCCGGTTAATGCTTCAATCAGTATATTTTGTACGGCCCATCCACGAATATGGAAAATAATTTAGTGTCAATTGAACTTTACGAATTTTAGCAACTTACTGGTGTCTAGCGAAGATTTACGAACATTAAAATCTGAAAAAATCCTTTGACACTTTTCGATCTACAATTGGGTTGCAATATTCAATATATGTCTTTTTGTTATTAGCAAGCGCTTGAACTTTTATTGTTATTTTAACTAAATAATCATTTTTTCTGTGTTTTTCAAAATTGTCGAAATAATATAAAAAAAGAAAAAGGGATTATTTTCATAAATTATTTTATTGTTTGTGAATGTATCATATTACTAATCATGAAATGGACATTGTAATAAATTAAGTCACTGAGGGCTGAGAATACTGAAAAATATTTTGATTCGTTCTAGTTATAACGAGCTTAAAGTAATGGGTTAGGGGTTTCAATCCCATGCCGCTAATATTCACGGCGGGTAAAGATTTGTGTATGCTACAGCGACTCACTTACATAACTTTCAATCTAAAAAAGTAATCAAGTTCGTGTTAGAATGTGGTTGTTCAGCTTTGTTTTGAAAAAGTCGTTTTAAGTCAATTGAAACCGTTTTATTATATTATACATTATTGTGAAACATGGTTTGATAAAATTAATACCATGTTTGAACGTTTGTTATTTGTTTGAGTGGTTGACTCCTGACTTAAAATAAAACGGCTCTGGACTGAAAATAAAATGGTTTTTGGCTTAAAATAAAACGGCACTGAGTCGAAAAATAAATTCTTCTTGGCTTAAAATAAAACGGCTCTTGGTTTTGAAATGAACTTTTCCACACATTACCTTAAGTGCAAAATGAGTTTATCTGTGCCCGATTCTAGAAAATTCATGCTCGACTATATCCGGAACGTGAGTGGTGCATTGAAGTAGTATTACAGTATCGAATTTATATCAAACTTCTGCATCGAAACGTTTCATGGAAATGAACATCCGCGTTCGTCTTGAGTAACATATATTACAACTACTCAATCTATGGGACCGAAAAACAAATAAAAAAGGGAAAAAATAATGTGAAATGACATTTGTTAGAATGTTGGTAGAGTAAAAAAAATTCCCTGTTAAGCAAGATCATCACAAAGGCCTTATTATTATATTATTTTATATTACGCGAGTGGAACAGTTCAGTATTTATATATGCTCTGATCTATCGCCGCGTTCGAGCATATTTTACGTTGGATTGCTATGCTATTTCCCTATCACACTTCATGCCAGTATGTTCCTAAGTTTTTCATTTTAGTGGGGGTGTTCGCCAATTTAGGAGGGGGTTGATATTTTTCTGTTAGTGATAAAACTATTTGTAACTCATGAAAATGTGGTATGTATTTGACTAATCATCTGCATATAACCCAGTTTCTTAATATTCAAATACAATTTATTTAGGTTAGGAATTAAAGCGCGGTGTCAAACCTCAAAGGGGGGTGTTTGAAACTTTGAGGAAAGTGGTAACCCCCTGTAGGAGAGAGTGTAGGAAAATAGCTGCTCCATACACTGAATACTGTCGAATAAAACGCTGTATTTCATTTTCAATACAAAAGACCTGATTTGTTGGATTTTTCTTGGCTCCCGTTAAACAGGCAAATCCTGTAATAGACGCTCATAAATAGCAAGTTATTTGAACTTCAACACATGAAATTCAATCATGCTCTACTTGGTTCACACGAGCGAAATGCTATATAACAGTGGTTCTCAACCTTTTTAGGTCAGTGTCGATTGAACATTGCGAATTTTAGCAATTTACTGGTGTCTAGCAATGATTTACGAACATTAAAATCCGAGGAAATCCATTGACACTTTCCGATCTACAATTGGTTTGCAATATTCAATATGTTTTCTTGTTATTAGCAAGCGCTTGAACTTTTATTGTCATTTTAACTCAATAATCATTTTTTCTGTGATTTTCAAAATTGTCGAAATAAAATAAAAAATGAAAAAGGGATTATTTTCATAAATTATTTCACTTGGTGGATGGATGGGTATGTATCATGGTCGTTGCTTTAAACACTTGGTGGATGGATGGATGGGTATGTATTATGGTCGTTGCTTCAAACACTTGGTGGATAGATGGACGGATGGGTATGTATCATGGTCGTTGCTTTAACACCAAATGCTTTTTTTGCGTTCTAGATACCGGTTATTGCTCAACTAATATCGTAGTTTAAGCACCCTTATATTCGTGTGATTTCCATCATACTGATATCTCAATTATACGTACCGGTTACAGCCTCTTGTAGCGCTCCTCTCTCCTAACCCGCGAATATTCTTTCGCTTCTAATTCGGCCCGGCCAATCAACTTTGGGAAACATTGTTCCATAGGATAATGGGCGTGCCCACCTAAACTTCCATACAGGAATAGTCAATTGAAGCAAAGCACGGCTTTAAAGCTGGTAGTTACTGATTTATAATCAAGGTTTCCTCTAAAATGCGCAACCGCGCGATTGCGAAGTGCAATCAAACCATTTGCGCAGTGAAATCTCATTTTCGCGCAATTGTCCTGTAGCATTACGTTTTCGAAGCTTAGTTTGCCATATTTTCTAACGCGAGATGGAAAGCCCGTTTCATCAATATTTTCGTTACCACTGTCCACTGTGATGTCACACACGTATCTGTTACGTTCAATTAACTGGATTTCTCCTGAATCATCTGGAAAGAACTATTTTAAGCCAGGCTTTCAATACCAGCCCGGGCCTAGGCCCACGAGCCAGCAATAAACGTGGGCAAGGTGTATAAACATTGAAAAATCATGAAAACGAGGAAAAAAATTGAGTCTAATGGGTACGTACTTGGTTGCATCCTGATAACATATTGATGCTGTAATAATTCACAATTTTTTTAAATCATTTAGAACTCTGCTCAGCCTCAAAATATCCATGCTCACTAAAACAAAGAATTGCGCAGTGTAAAATGTTTTTAGATGGAACACTGTTTATAATAATGTATTTTATATTACGATAATTCAATCATTGAAAAGAATTTATCTGTTACTCAGAACAATGACACCGGGAGAAACAAAATTATAAACGATATAGAATTCCAATGATCTAACCGTCAGGTCGTGTGTTTATATTTATTTTTCTTTGTAGGTGTCGCCATCTTGTGTGGAGGAAAAAAAACACTTTAGCACCGGGACAGCCGGGGAATCCCTTCATCTGGCGAGTTCGATTAGAGATTGGCCATGTAGCATTTATACCCTTCATGTATAGAGGGAGCTATTAGTGGTTCAGCTGCTAAAGCCGTATTAACCTATAATACCAGTGTTCTAAAAACTTAATTTCCGACGTTGGAATTTTAATTAGATATTGGAGCTTGGGTGTCATTGCTTGATAACGGATCTTGGTTTCCCGTGGCTTCCCTTCTCCAGTAAAAACGTGTGTTCAATTTTAGTTTTTGTCAATTTCATATGTAATTTTTTACTGAATAAAAAAAAAACTTGACTTTGACTATTATTCTGGATTGAAAGCGACATACGAATAATATGAGGAATCATTACCAAGAAAGTTATGGAATATGACAAACACACAAAACACACTTTGTTTTCGCGTATCAAAAGGATGTAAAATCGGTAAGAAATTCCTCAAACTTCAAAGAGTGTTCAAAACTAAGGAGTTAACAACATTTGACATATTAAAATAAACATAGCAAACATTTGACTGCCTAACATCGGGCAATCGCGGGCTATTTTAACCCTGTATATCACATATCACATATTGAAAAATTACATCTGGCATATTAATTAAGATAAAGGGAGCATCTCAAAAATCAGTTTTTCTTTAGAACATATACAAGTCGAAAAAAAACAAGCTCCCCCTCTGATTTATCAATATGATATTTATATTATACGAGAAAAAAAAACCTTAGGTTTTAGTCCTTTTGACACAACTTGATGTAAAGTAGGCGAACAAAATTAGTTACCTCCATGTTGGTGCACACACATTTGGAGCGCCCAAAAATATGCTATAAAGGGAATTAAATTTTATAAACGATGCAAAAAAAGAATAAAAACATTCAACATCTGATCTTTATTGTTTTAACAGTAATTAATTTACCTGTGATGAATTACTTGTGAAAGGTAAAAGTCGAACAAAAAGTAAACTTGCTGACAATCTGCAGAAAAAGATAAATTCGATGACAGTTTGAAGCAATTGACAGTTGACCAATTTTTGTTAAAAATAAACTGGAATGTTACCAAAACTCCATTATATGGTTTTGCAGTCCTATCTACATTCTCATTTCTTACGATAAATATAAAAAGTCGAATTCTTTGTGCTTGTGATTGGTCGATATAGTTGAAAATTAAAACCAGTCAAGTCACTGCTTCTCTTCAAAATATGGACCTCTGTAGGGTATTATGCAAAATTACCAATCATTCGGCCCGACCGAGTAAAATGACATAAGGCCATGCTTCTACTTTAATAATGGGCAATAGACAGCCTAATTATAAACATAAATAAGAATAACATAATCTCTTTCCTTGTGACAACTGAAACACATGGATCCGCAGTAGCAAGTATATTTTTGAGCTTAGAAAGATCATAGTCTAACAAGATATGGCTTAGTAGCAAAACCCTAATACACACCCTAATTATGAAAATACATACAAATAACACAAAACAGTAAATTTGCGATATAAATGCATAACTAATTCATGAATGAACAATGTGAATGAAATGTTACAGAGCTAAAAAGTTTGACACAAATAGTTTTATAGAATCTCCTTCACTGGTGTCCAGTGATAATTGTTTATCGGTTATATTTACATCATGCACCAACACACACTAAATAAAAATCTCTTATAGGAATGGAGTGAAAGGACCACTGCCTCAGTTTGGAAAACCCCTATTGTATGAGGTTCTTTCGTATTTACATTGGAAAATTTTTGAAGAGAGGGGGGTGCATAACTGAAGCAAAAACTGTCTCGGCGGTGTGGCGAATCATGCTAAGCGTTGTATACATTCGCCACTGCATCTAAGATTACCCTACGTCGGTTCGTAGGTCCAAAACCCATACGGAGATGGTTATGTGCAAAAGGCAGAGAGATTATGCGCAACAGGCTTACAACTTGATTATAGTTAGACTTTTGTCATTGGTTGCGATTGTTATTTCGCAATCATTCAGGGTCCAAGTACTGTTTAGAATCGTCTTTGTTCGTAGTGCAAGTCACTGCCTCTGGTTGGTTTGAACCTGCAATAGAGATAAATGCGATACAAATTATGTTTATTTCTAGTCTAGTATATTAGGATTCAGGATAGGATAAACATATTTATCCCGGGGGAGAGGAATTCTGGTCTAATCATATGGCGAACCACGGCCTCTCGGTTACCATTGCCGGTTACAAGTTACCACTCCAAGTCGGGTATGGGACTAGTTAAAACACTAGAAATCTTGCCAAAACGTATAAAAAAAAATGAAAAACCGTGAAAAAACACTAGAAACCTTGCCAAAACGTGTAAAGCAGTCAGAAAGTACAAAAAAACTCGCCAAAACGTGCAATAACAGTGAAAAATTGTCAAAAAGCACTAGAAACCTTGCCAAAACATATAAAAACGGTGAAAAACCACCAAAAAGCACGGATGTGTTAGTTGATTGAGGGGTTCAGAAATTCTTTTGCAATGACACAATGTTGTGGGAAATTTATAAAAATTCAAAAATATTAGTAACTAACACTCACATGTAACAAATTCTATTCCAGAAGAGTGTAGTAATTCTCCTTGTCCATCAGCGTAGGTAAAATAAACAGTAGCCTGGTATCTTTCACCATATTCAAGCTTTCCATTCTCGATTTCCCATTCCTTGGAATCTATAGACAGGCATGAGGAGCGACAAACTGGGCCTACCCCATTACTGATTATCACTTGGATATTCTTGAGAGCTTTATTATCTTTCGGAAGATCCCAGGTTAATTTTGCATCGGATACAAATTCGCCTGTCTGGATCTCCGATTGGAGAACTTTTAAACTTTGGCCTGTTAAATAATGGTTTATATTAGGTTTTTAATGTTACGCCATGAAATTGCTGTGAAGTAAAGTAATCAAATCGGAATAAGAAAAAAAAATTCTGCAGTTATTACCATATTTCAGAGCAATATTCAATAGGGAGGGCATGTCAATAAAGACTGGAGTTTAAGAATCAAAAATATCCGCACAATCTCAAAACACTTTCAGTTCATTTAGGATAGGATTCACATATTTATCCCATTGGAGAGGAAAGTTGATTATACGGCTTAATCCCATGATACCAAGGTCCCTCGACTGGTTACCAGGTCGGGTATGGTATTAGTTAGACAGTTATTTGTTTTCAGAAGCACGGACTTGATAGCGGAGGAAGCTATAACCGATCAGCAATTACGTGAACCACCCACCAAAAAATGGCCGGTAATATAAGGTAAGTAAAAGTAATTACTTACATTTGAAATCATCTTCATTATATGTCTTGTTTCCTGTTAAAAAATTTATTTTTTTTATTAAGCACGAAACAGTTATCCAATTGCTTATCATTTAATATTAAAAACTGGCGCTCCTGGAGTATAAGCATCAATATGGAGGTAACTAGTTTCGATTGTCTACTTTACATCAAGTTGTGTAGAGGAACTGAAACCTATGGGCAGGGGGTATATTCACTTGGCTAACACAGACAATTCCGGGACTGGTAATATAACCAAAATATTCTCATTTCAATCGGAAATCTTAAGAAAAATTAGAATAAAATTATGGCCTAACCCTAATTCGTATATGCACTGGTATATACTATGGGAGTACCCCTTAACTGGCCTTTAAAAATTGTGACAAGTTACTTAAAAGACACAAAAAATCGGAGAAACGGCAGAAGTGGCAAACACAGCATAAATTTTAATTTCCAATTTCAATAAAATATTTCTGTTCACAAAACTAGACACTTTGAATCATTTTATTATTTTAAAAAGCCTCATGATTTCAGTGATTTCAAAGCAGCATGATTTCAATGGCAACTCACCCATTTCCATGAGATTTGTGAAAGAGTCAGCGAATGCGTTGTCCCCAGCTACAGCAAGGCCTGTTTGTGGTCCAGACAAATAACTTTTCACTCTATCATACAATTTGGAGAAGATGTTTTTGTCTGAATTTGAAGGCGCATCTGTAAAAGCAAAAACAACCATGCTTGAATATCTGTTTGAGCAAACAAAGTGTCTGAGCGAATGCAAAATTTACATTTGTTATGTCACCGTTTACTCTTTGCTGATTGTTCATTGTTACGGAAATAACCAAGGAAATAGATGCTAGGGGAAACATCCATGGGAATTGGACTCAAAAACCAGTCAAATGTTACGAATGAATCTACATGGGTGATGGAGAAATATGTAACCAGTTGTTACGTGCGACATACTAATTCTCAAATATTGAACTAAGAAAAAATGAAGATTGATTACCAACAAATAATTTCTCCTTGTTGGAAGGATTTTCTTGATCCTTATAATATGCAGTAACTTTGAACTTGTACTCTCTACCAAGATAGATATCCCTCTGCACATCAACATTAAACTTGCATTCTTGCACAAGACCTTTTACTTCTTTCCGGTCAAGCAATTTTTCAGAGTCCTTATCAAAGATTTCAACATGGTGGTGGTCACAGTTGCCCGTTGACGTTGACCATTTTAAAGTGAAAGAACCGGAATCACTCGTGATTCTCAAATCTTTGGGTTTTGCTGGTCCTAGTTGATGAAAAACAAAAAACAACCTGTAATCTTAACCCTTATGTGGAAATGTTAAAAATAAATCAGCATCCCATACCAAGATAGCTAAATTCAAATTTTAAAAACCTTAGCGAAGCCAAACATCGCTATTTGCAATAATAAATTTGGCTACATAAGGTTTGTGAATAGTATGCAATTGTTATCAGAACAGAATTTTATTAACTCTAGAGCTGGCAATATTAAAAAATGGCGCTCCTGGAGTATGAGCATCAATATGGAGGTAACTAGTTTCGTTTGTCTACTTTACATCAAGTTGTGTAGAGGAACTGAAACCTATGGGCAGGGGGTATATTCACTTGGCTAACACAGACAATTCCGGGACTGGTAATATAACCAAAATATTCTCATTCCAATCGAAAATCTTAGGAAAAATTAGAATTAAATTATGGCCTAACCCTAATTCGTATATGCACTGGTATATACTATGGGAGTACCCCTTAACTGGCCTTTAAAATTTGTGACAAGTTACAACGGCCCGTGGGCCAAATCTAGCCTGTTGTGTGATTCAATCTGGCCCACCTAATGCTACCAAGCAAACAACAAGTTTGATGTTTTAGCTAAAACATAGCCCACGGAATTTGTTGAGATTGCGATTAAATTTAATTTTGGCGCGAGGCCTATTATTTTCCACTTTTTCTGTTGTAACACTGTAAATAATGTTCATAAAATGTATCTCTTGTCATCTCACTTACATGACCCGTCAGATTAAATGGGCAAACTTTTGGACCGTGGTCCGAAAACCTTGCCCATCCCTGATCTAGGGCCATACTAGTGGTGAAATGAATTTTTTAACAAATACCGAAATATTAGTAATTAACACTCACGTGTATAGAATTCCTCTTGTCCTAAAATGTGGGGAAACTCGCCCCCTTTTTCGTCAACATCGGTACAATATATTGCTGCGTGGTATTTTTTACCACACACGAGCTTCCCGTTATATATTTCCCATTCATTTGAACCTTTGGGTAAGTATGGAGAGCGACAAACTTGTCCTGAACTGTTACTGATTACCACATGAATTTTCTTCACATCCTTTTTAGCTTTTGGAAGATCCCAATCTAATTTTGCACGCGAAATAAATTTGTCTGATGGGAACTCAGATTGCACAACTCTCAATCTTTGACCTGTTAAATAATAGTCAACGTTTATATCATAAAATAACTGCGAAGTGAATTAATCAAAAGCAAAAGAAAAACAGAATTCTGTAATTTTATGTTGGGGTTCAACCATTGACTCCAAAAATAATATAAAAATCCTTTATTTAAAATATTTCATACTGATTTAGTCTTTGATTTCCGGGATAAGCATTTTGGCATTTTCTTATGTATATCCCTGAGTGACATGGAAGGATATAAACTGTCATAACTATATGATAAATCATAGCTTCTCATTCAGGTGGATTTCAAAAAACAATTATTATCCAACAATGTTGAAGATGTAATAAAATCGTAAAATATCAAGAGCCTAAAACAGGGGTGGGCAAAAACATTTTGGACCAAGTAAGAAGTTTTTTGGGTAAGAAAATTCCCCTAACTTGTACTGGCGGGCCATGTAAGTGTGATTTTATGAACAGTATTTACCGTGTAACAGAAAAAATATCAAAATTTGATTTTAGTTTGGTTTAGTTCATTGGGTAACATTTTTGGCCCCTGGTTCAAAAACTTTTCCCACCCCTAAGCTAAACTAAGTTGGGGTCATATCAGTATTTCGAACTTGTTTGTTCAGCTTTTCTCCAAGCTAACAAATTTTTAGAGAAATGAATAAACACAAGTAAGGATCTACTTCTAATACTACTCACATTTAAAATCATTTTCACTGTGCATATGATATGTTTTGTCCCCTGTAAAATATTGGATTTTATTATCAATCATGTAAAAATTCCTTAATTGTCTACCAACTGATGGGATATGTAGTAATCAGAAGTATGAGAAGTATTAGTAGATATCAGAAAATAATACACCTTTTCTCAAAGAGAAAACTCCCTACCATATAATAGGTAAATATCTATAAGTTTATCTATGACAATGTTTTAGGTCCCTTTTGTATCGTAATCTACTTTAGCAAGTTAGATTAATCTTACAAAACAAAATAAATGAGGAACACCCAGCCTCTGCATACATTTTTATTCACATTTTCAACAATATATTTCTGTTCACGAAATTATACGCTCTGGTTTGCTTCAATTTTAAAAAGCCTCTGTACTTTTGTATCATGATTTCAATGGCAACTCACCCGTTTTCATGTGGATTGTGCTGTCATTAAAGGTAGCAGATGTGTTGTCACCAGATACGACTGAGACGGTTCGTGGTCCAGATACATAGCTTTTTGCTCTATCAAGGAACTTTGAAAAGACTTTTTTTTCTGAATTTGAAGATGCATATGTAATATATATATACTAGAATACAGCATCAGCAGAGATTTTAGCGAAGCATTTCTCAAACTGTTTGTTGAGAGATTCTCAGGTGTGCTACGGGTATTTTTGGAATTTAAAAAAAAATGCTATTTGTATTACACATAGGCATGCATGAAACAGGCAAGCTTGTGGGACTTGAGTGCGCACCATTCATTGCATTTTCTGTGTCGTTGTAATAGGGGTGATTTTAATTGTATTGGATTGTTACGTTATTATATATTTGTAAACAAGATGTCCACATTTCTTGCACAATGAAATGAATATTTTAATCTGAATCTCACTTGTTGTTACTGGTATCCCAAATGTAATTGATGTCTTTTTGTTTTTGTCAAACACAGATTGAGCACCAATCACATATTTTGTTGCGGGTTGACAATCTTCGATCACAGCATGCCGGCTCCTGATGGTCATTTTTTTGTCGTCATTAATGGTCAAAATAAAGGGCCCACCATGTCTTGAAATAACTGTGACATCCAAGCTTGTTTCTGGATTTTCTTCATTTTCTTTGACAATGACATCAGAAGGAGCTGAAAATAAAAATTTAATCAAACTTTCAAGTAATTTTCAAATGAGCTTGACTTGTTCCAGGTTAGCACATTGGTCTAACTCAGTGTTTTATGAAGATTATCACATCATTTTATCACAGTTATTTTTTTTTTTCAGCAATGAATCACAAAAAAAAATTTCATTCAGTCGTTTTCATATTATTCGAGTATTTAATATAGGAAAACATTAATCTGCCATTGGTGTGTTATTCGTTTCCTGATGAAGACAAATACTGCGTTATTGATTTACTTTTAAGGCAGATGATGGTATGGAGCACAAATTATTAATTACAGCAACATGCGTAAATTTGGGAATTCTCGTTATATGTGAACAAAGATGGCGGACACGGGTGTAGCATGTGTACCCGGTTAGGGTTAGGCCATAATTTCAGATACAAATACTACGGGAGTCACTTGAGTAGTCCACGAACTCGAGTGCACGAGTAGTAATATAACTAAAATAAAAAAAATTGGATAAAACTATGGCCTAACCCCAATCTGGTACACATACTACGTTCTGGTGTCCACTATCTTGGTTCACATACTTTGGGACCGCCGAAATATGTGCTCATGGCTTCAGCCAATAATGGCTATAATTTCCACCACTTTGACAAGTGTTCCTAAATCTTAACAACCAAAATTTACCCGTTGCGAAAGTTGCGTGTGCATATTGCTTGCTGAGATGGCCTCCATTGCTCGCCCACACTTTGAATTTATAAGAAGTTCCATCATAAAGAATATCAGAGTTCCAGAAATTCTGCTTCGTTATTTCTGTGACCTTGAACTTCTCAAAATCGGTGAGTTCAATTTTAGCTGATGACATTCCATTTGAGTTTGTCCAGCTGAAGGAAATTCTACCATTCGTATCCTCGATGGTCAGATCTTGAGGTGGTAGAAGAGCTGAAATGTTAAAATATATTAAGGAACTATTAGCATGTTTCTACGCGCTATGTATACTTCCAGCTCAACTATCGTTTTTAGCTTCATAACGATAATTTTATAACTGATTTCAGCTTAATTTTACACTCTCACTCGCATTTGTACTTGGGGTGTGTCTATTAGCTACAAAAGACCGATTTTAGACAATTAAAATTGTGATATTTAATATTGAAAATGTTCTAGTATTTGTCTATTTCACAAAATTTTTTTGATTTTGCTATCATTATTCAACAAGATTGTCCCTCAATTTGAAATTTTCTTATTCTTGTGCATGACATTCGTACAGTTCACTATATTTTTTCAATTATTTGTTAAATGGCTAAGTTATAATTTCCTAGAAACTCAATATTCTTCATTATTTCAAAAACTACTAGCACACAATATATAGATATCCAGGCAAATCTCAACTCACGAGATAGCTCAGTGTTGGAACAAGTCTTTTCTCCTTCACCAGTTTTATTGCATGGAATTACTTCGCATGAATACGGAGTTCCGAATTCCACTTGAACTGGGAAAGAATAGCATTGCCCAGACGTTTCCTGTTAATATAATACTTTATTAGATGGATTTTAACTTATAAAATTCAACAAAATGTTATGATAAAAGTAATAATTCAATTATTCAGAATAAGATAGAATTTGAATATTTATCCTGGGAGGTAGGAGGAAAGCCTATAAGATGGCTTAATTACATGGTAAACTACGACCTCTCCTCCGGTTACCAGTCCATGTCGCTATTGGAGCATGAACACACCCGGAGCATGACTCGAACCTGCGAACCCACGGATTATAATCAGAGTCGTGGTGGCCAATGCTCACCACAAATTTTTAAGCCAATCTTGTATTATATAGTAGATGGATACACTATAACTTACCTTTTCAAGTACCTTCGTTATTTCACCTTCTGGATTGCCTTTATACAAAGTTATTTTATAGTTATCTTCATTGATCGCTTCTTTCCATTTAGCAGTTATTTGGTCTTTTCCAATTTCCAAATTGATGTTTGCAATTTTGTCCGGCACTAATGAACAAAATATGCAGAAAATTTCATGAATTTACAGCAGAAAACCTAATGATAAGTTATTAAAATAATGTATATAAATGTAATGCAAGAGGGCTATTTTTGAGAATCGTTCTCCAGATATTGAAAACAGATAATTGCTTTGTTACTTTAAGAGCCATATTTGGACTGAAAACCAAATTAAAAGTTATGACTTTCAATATGATTAAACTGGCATATAGGCTCACTCTTTTTCACTATATTATGAAAAATTCCATTTTTCCAGAAACCTCAAATATGTAAGATTCCACACCACTGAGCTGTTTTCTAGCTGTCTCACCCTGAATAATATTCACTAGGTAATAACTATCATTGATAGTTAGTGCTTAAGTCTTATTATATTGACATCATATTGTAAGATAGGAGCTCATGGATGCATGTAGTCCATCATTCCAACTAAGCACATAATATCAGTAATAACTAATAACTAAGCATACAATTGAATACAACAGGACCATCTTCATTTGTTCGCACAAAGACTTGTTAAGAGACACAATGCGAAAAATTGTATTACATTATCAACTACATTTGTATTTTTTTTTCACAAAACATGAAACAATCATTGAAATAAAAATTTTATTCCATTGAAGATAAGTCACCTGTAGTATACGTAAATGGCTTTGACCATTCACTAAACCCCCCACAATTTCGTGTTCTCATTTGCACTTCATATTTACAACCAGATCTGCTACATCGATATGTAAGAAAGCATTTTCCATCTTCATTGCTTTCTCTTTCATATCTCAGTATTTGTGGTTCATCATTGAAGTCCAAGCATGAAATTTTTACTTCTTCTCCATAGCAATTTGGTTGGGACTTCCAGGAGAGATGGAAAACTGAACTTGGGTGTTCTCCATCAGGTGTCAGATGGCTTTGTATTATGAGAGGAGCTTTGGGTGCTGAAAAAATGATGTAAACAATAAAGTTTTATTGCTAAATGGTTGATGCTTTGTGCCAACTGTTGGAAATGTCAATATTTACTGTATTTTTCTGACCATAAGGAGCATTGTCAAAAATTGCGTAGATTCAGGTTTTGTACATACATACGAAGCACCAGGCTATAAGATACGACAGGCAAATTTACACAAATAACTTATTTTGAAAATGTCAGTAATTACTGAACTTTAGATTTGGGTTTTGTTCATACACAAGGCTCACCAGGCTATGAGATGCAACCGGCATCTCGTCCAGTTACCAGACCTTGTTGAGTATGGAATTAATTGACCAGTTATTTTCATTTTTCTAAGATGCATGGACTTAATGGTGGAGGAAGCCATAGCCATAAGCTACCACCGGTTACGTGAACCAACCTACGACGACGAGGATTCCAGCAACGCACTTGCACATAATTGATCCCCACATGGTATTAGAACCTGCGAACCTATACAGGGTAATCAGAGGTGCGTGGCGAGCGTATTCCTAACGCTCAGCACGATGCGCAACACCCGCGCGAGCCAATAGATAGTTGTGGAAGCAGTAACTGGTGACAAAGTGAATGCTGCAATGATTGGAAGTTTGAAAATGTGCTCACAATATGGTACTCCCGAAGTATGCGAACCAAGATGTCGGACACCGGAATGTAGTATGTGTACCAGGTTAGGGTTACGCAATAATTTTTATTCCAATTTTTCCTATTTTAGTTCCATTACAAGTTTGGTGACTAGCCAAGTGACTCCCATAGCATTTGTACCTGAAAATATGGCATAACCCTAACCTGGTACACATGATACCAGGTATGTTTCGGTGTATGCCATCTTGGTTCGCATACTACAGAACTACCCACAACATTCCCATAGCATTCACCCTATAAACAAAAATACAATTTTTACCTGTTAGAATTTCTTCTGTTTGTGTTTCTTTTCCTTTCTCCCTCCCATACATTGGTGTCACTATTGCATAGTAACTACAATTATTCTTCATATCTGTGAATAAACCATCGTCTGTGTGAACCCGTGGTTGGTCGTCTGCACTGGAATCCCGTAGCTCAATGAGGTGAGATGTGGCATTCAATGCTTCATTGTACTTAACGACCACAGAATCCAACTTGTCTTTGTCCAGTTCTAACCAAGCTTTGCTAACTTGTCCAACACCTGAAATAAATATTTTCATATTTATTCTGGTGGAGAGGAAAGCTGATTCAATCATATCGTGTAGCATGGACTAGTAACTGCCTTTCATGTACGCTTACCGTTCCATATCTAATATGGAAATACTTAACCAGTTATTCGTCTATGCCGAAGAGCCAAGCAATCCTGTTGCACAATATCATCTCCACAGGATCTGCACCTGCGAATCCACTAGGGGCAAACAGAGATGTAATGGCAAGAATATTCGTAATTCTTAGCACAATGTGCCAACCGCCAGGCCAACATATCTGGGCTGATACAGAAATACAAACCTGTTGTAATAGTTTCCGGGGTTGTGTAAGGACCATAGCCATCTTCATCAGCTTTAATAGCAACTGTGTACTCAGTGTTTGGCAAAAGATTCCGGATAACATACTCTGTGCAATCTTTTCCCAAACACTTGATAAAGGAGTCTGTTCCTTGTCGATATCGGAGTTTATACCCTTTTGCTTCTGGTGGAGGTTTCCAAGTGCAAAAAATTGTAGTAGCAGGATTTTCTGATCTTCGCTGGACATAGAAATTAACAGCACCTGATAAGATTTTGAAATTTAATATTTTTCAAAGTAATGTGCTAAAGAAATCACGAAAATGCAATTGGAATCCAGTGGTATAAGAATATTTAAATTAAAAAAATATGATAATTGAAACAATTTTGAATTATTTTATAAAAATGGCTACTTCTTGCTAAGATTATCTCACCTGATTTTTTCTTTAATAAATTGGATACAATCCACAGACTTGTTTTCCCATTCGAGTCTATTGCTGCAACGTGGAATGTGCAAGATGTTCCCGGTTTCAAACCATCAATTTTGCATTTTGTGTTTGTAGTTTTGTAACCTCTAGAATAAAGAAATATAGATATTAAAACATTATTCTATTTGAAGAAAATGGTAATATTGCCATATTTGACACAAAAATAAAGTCATAGTGCGATCAGAGTAAATTACTTTATAATCAAATGCTAGCTATGTACAACTGACATTCATATGTCAGAGCAAATTTGGATTAAAGAATAGCGGACCGACAAAAAGTGCACTATGATATGTAACACATACACATAGATAGATTTGAATAGGATAGAATTTTCATATTTATCTTGGGGGAGAGGAAAAGCAACTTAATCATACGGCGAAGCACGTGCGCTTGTTCGGTTACTACCTTATGTCATCATGTATAATATTAAATATTTGTTTCAGTTGCATGAACAAATCTGTTGAGTCCACCAATTCTCTTGAACATAATTACCCCCCTTTAGACTCGAATCTGCGAACCCACGCAGAGTAATCAGAGGTGCGGTGACAAGCGTATTCATCATGCTTAGCATGATGTCCCACGCCATATAGCTGATTTCGATATATATTTTATCTCAGAAAACCAAAATCTCAATACTGTTTTTCATAACAGTTCTCATTGAAACTTACTTGAAAACTTTATTCTTCTGTAACACTACTACAATGTATATTATTTTAATTGAACCCCATGAACTGCCCCTTGGTTTCTTCCATGTCAATTCAACATCATTTGTGTTTTCAATAAGTTTTGCTTTCACTTCTTGGGGGCCATTTTCATCACCTGGAAGATTTATTAGTCAAAGGGTTTTAAATTTTATAAAACTCTTCAAGTTATTTTATTTACATGGGTTGTTTAGAAACTGTAACCAGTGGTGGTGCATAAAGCACCATGTAATGGTAATTTAAACATCCCTGTCACACATGAATGACATAAATCTATGCAGCAAAATAATGATTCCAAATGCCTGTTGCAATGCATCAAGCATGAGATATTTTGCTATTAGTAAGATAAAAGGTATTTAACCTAGCTGTGTTGGGCATAGCCAGAGAGAAAAAAATGAGATTGATTACCAGCAAATAATTTCTTCTTGCTGGATGGATTTTCTTGATCTTTATAATATGCAGTGACTTTGAATTTGTACTCTCTACCAAGATAGATATCCCTTAGCACATCAACATCAAATTTGCATGCTTGCATGAGACTTTTAACTTCTTTCCGGTCGAGCAAAACTTCAGAGTCCTTATCAAAGATTTCAACACAGTGTTTGTCACAATTTTTTGTTGATGTTGACCATTTCAAAGTGAAAAAATAATAATTGCATGTAATTCTGAAATCCTTCGGCTTTGCTGGTCCTGGTAAATGTAAACACAAAAATAGTGAATAGTAGGAAAAAGAATATGGGAAAAGTTTGCCCAGTCAAGCTGAAGCGTGGTGCGTACAGGTACATTGTGCTCGAACTAGACTTTAGAAATTGGAAAGAAGCAGATGAAATGAGATTTATAATGAAATTGAAATAGGAGAAAAAAGTTTTTTTTATATATAATTCCAGATTTGATCTATTCAACGCGTGCCATTGCCTTCTGCTAAAATCGCCGATTGTTTTCATCAACGTGGCGTGTTATTTCGGCCGTGGACGCCATATTCTCTCTAAATCACAAATTTGTGCCACGGTAACAATGATAATTATTTTATTTTTGTACTCGCACGGAATTGTGAAAACTGAAAAGCGTGCAATTGCCTTCTGCTAAAATCGTTCATCGGCGGCGATGTTCTAAAGAGAAATGGAGGAGAAATCCGCGCATTCTGAATGTTTTTGATTGAAAAGCGGCAACATAAAATATTGAAAATAAAACCGTAAACAATATATGTTTTCCTGAATCCCGCGACAGTCTAAAAACGCTTTTCTGGGCAATGAAAATCGCAAAATTTCGTGTGCCTTTTGGCACACATTATGTTTGGTCGCCGTTTAGAAACATTCCGTCACTAAAATCAAAACACGGTTAATGTGGGCGGGATTTGCCTTTTCATACATTACTTTAAAATTGTCGTCGAAAATTTTCGTGGTATTGATAAACAAGGTTGAAAACGTTATTTTTTCCCGTTTTGTGATGATAAATAAGATATTTAATCTGAAGTATATCGATAGATTTTTATTGTACTGAAATAAATTTTACTCCATGAGAATTTACAGCAGATTTACGGTTTTTTGAAAGGTTTCATCTTTAAAAATGACCGGAGTGGCAGCATTGCGATTGAACGGAGTCAGTGTTACAAGTACTCAAATCAAATTGAATTCGCAAAATAGAAAAAATACGGATCAAAACTATATATAATCAGGCAATTTACCACACATTTTAAAGTCCGCGGAATTCCGTGGTGTTTTAGAGTGGCTCTTGTTTTGTCAACGCTACCGCAGGGTAAATTGAAGACAATTAAATTAATAAAGGACATTTTAAATATGCCCTTATCGGTCATGCATTGATTACTCTATTGATGCGGTGAATTTGTATTTTTGATTTTCTGGTATACTTTATATCTATTTTCATGTGCTGTGTAGCTCTGTTATACCTACTTCAAATTGTAATTAGTCTTGTTTCAATCGCAATCCGGTGAAAGCATTCACATCATTGTATATATATATATGTGTGTTATTGGACACGTAGTGGACATAACGATCGTTTCAATATTCTGTTGTTGTTGTTGTTCTTGTTCTTTGACACGTTTTCAAAAAGTCGCTTTTCTCTTCGAATACTGGACCAATTGCTTTGAAATTCTCAGTGGTTAAAGATAAAAATTTTCTCCAGAAGGCTATTACTTTTTTTTTTCGCTATGACGTCATCAAAATTATGTGACTCTACGTGTCCATATATTTGAGCATATCTCTCTTGTTTGCTTTGTCAGATGGTAACTGACATACTTGGATTGTATTTTTTAATGAATAGCTGTTCACTTTCTGACAATTGCATGGTCATGCTTCTTTTCTGGGAGTGGGATCATTCTTATTACACGTGTATGGCTTTTTTTTTCTGCATGAGTGGTGATATATCCTGATGAGGGTTGTAGACAGTATGCTATAGTTCCCGCAAGATACCAAGTATTGTAACTGGGCGAGCAATCGAGCTATATTGGATTCTCCCCTTTAATAAATTTTTAATTTTGTGTTGGTAATTTTAATTTGATGTGGTTTCCTACCTCTTAATGTAAACATGCACTTTATGTTTAGGTAAGCTAATGCATGCTGTGAAGTTGACTTGTTGACCAAAGTGTAGATAGTGTGATATGATCAAAGTTGAATGTTTTTGCATGGTGTGACAATTGTGTCCCTAACAGAAATTGCTTTTGGATCCTCCAAACACCAATATAAAGTGATAAGAATTTAATGATCAATACCTCCTGAAATCAATTTAACAATTTCATTTATCTCCTAATAATTAATAGGTCAACATATATCCATATGTGCAATCTTTTAAACACCTACTCGCAAATTGTTTCTTCATTTTTCAGGCTACGTCACAATCATCGAATGACGTGAAATATGTTAACAAGTTTCCAAAGTTCGACTCTGATGGATCTTCCGTATTAATCCCAAAGGATCCCATGAAAAACATCCTCAATTCTTTAATCCTTGAACCAACCCTTTATAACCAATAAATTACAATACCTACCTCAGTATCAATCACCTAATCTAATTATTGCATACTTAAACTGTAACCAGTAATATTTTATAATTGATGTCCTAATTGATCTGGACTACAATTTGGCAATATTTTGGAATGTCTTTGGTGAATGAAAAGGTTTACCTCTTCATGCACTCAACTTTCGGTGGGCAATTTGGCACTTGACTCCAATCATAATCAGCTTGGCAAAATCATTTTTTTTCCTTATATTAAATACTGTTCACTCTTGTTTGGGAATTTTTATAAACTTATTTAAATGGTTTGGCAAACAATTCTTATTATTTATTGCATTTCTTATCTTTTATTCTAATTTCTTTTTTACGTGTTTATTTTTATTTTTTGGTTACCATATAATTTTTCTAAAGCTTCTCTCTTTTTTCGAATTTCATTAATGCTCTAGTGAGTGAACACGTACCACTTCTTTTTGGCAATACCTTCCATCTTATATTCTGTACGTTCTAAACCTTATCCAAGGTTTTGTTTACTCTCCTGATTTCATTTTTATTTGTTTTTATCAACAGTTTTATCGCCTTTTTGCTGAATATGGAGTCGAAATGAACTTATCTCTCTTATCTTATCTAAATACATCAGGCAGCTTATCTCATACTTTTTATGTCCACAGATCGCCGTGGTATTTTACTGCAGTTATGTTTTATTTTGACGTGAGAAGTCGCAACCGCGAGTTACGTTGGGACACAATTAAATTAATATATAAGGACCTTTTTAGAATCTCGTAGTTGTCATGAATTGAATATTTAACGCGAGAAAAGCTGAAAATGTGACCTTATTTACGAGCGCGTGATCTTGGTGATTATTACAGACGCTCCCCCCCCTTTTGAAAATCCTGGCTGCGCGCCTGCTTGGATAGGAAATTTTTTCACCAACAATAATAAGACAACCAAATTCGGAGTTTGAACACTTGCACAACGACGAAACTCATTCTGTTTTCATCAATAATTTCAAGTTCAGGTAGCTTGAAAGCAGAATGAAATTTTGCTTCATGCTGTCGTGAAGTGTGATTCATAGTTATATATATTTAACTTTGAACCTCAGTTCATATTACTCACGTGTATAGAATTCAATTTCTCCAGCAAGGCAGAGAAACTCCCTCATTTCATCAACATAAGTACAATAGATAGTGGCATGGTATCTTTTACCACATTCGAGCTTCTCGTCATCAATTTTCCATTCTTTGGAAGATTTATGCAGGTATGAAGAATGACAAACTTCACCCGAACTGTTACCAATTTTCACTTGAATCTTCTTGAGATCCTTTCTGGCTTTGGGAAGACCCCAGGTGAGTTTTGCACCTGATATGAACATGCCTGCTGGGGACTCGGATTGAACAACTTTTAAACTTTGACCTGATAAACAATAGTCTATGTCACATTTTAAAGTTGTGTCATGAAATTGCTGTAATATAGAAAATATAACACAAATTTATAAAAACTAAATGTTGCGGTTCCATAGTTTGGATCTACCGAAAACTGATATGGAGAACATTGAAGGTGACCTAGCTGCCCATGTGGTTATATTGTTAGGTGATAGATGATGTACACCGGTAAATCAAGTACAATAAATCAATTTGACACAATAGGTTTGAACACTTCAACATTATCAGTATGCACGAGAAAATTGCTGGACACGTCGTCGCCAAAGGCTGGTTTATCTGACTAAACAGTGGTCAATTTATGACAACCTTCACTATCAAAACCATGCACCTGAAACAAATAAGGTTTTACATAGGATTCACATATTTATCCCAGGAAAATAGAAAGCCGATAAGAGGGCCTGATCATATGGCGGACTACGGCCTCTCGTCCGGTTACCAGTCCATGTCAGGTATGGGATTAGTTTGCCAGTTGTTTGTTTTCGGAAGCATGGACTTGTTGGTGCTGGAAGCCGTAACCAACCAGCGGATATGTAAATCACCCCACGATGGCGAGGAGTTCAACAATCCTCTTGTACATAACTATCCTCGCATGGGAGACGAATCTACGAACCCACATAGAATAATCAGAGGAACGGTTGTGAGCGTATTCTTAATGCTTAGTATGATGAGCCACATTGCCTCGCCAATAACTAGCTAACTAATATCGTAACCAAAATGGACTGCTAACCGGACGAGAGGCCATGGTATGCCATATAACCAATCCATTTTGTATGTTTTTTTCATCCCCAAGATAAATATAAAAATTTTATCCTACCTGATGATATTAAAATAGTTGTTTATATTCTTTTCTAGCTGATAAATTTTTAGCTAAATGGTAAAAGTAAAAAAAAGCATTCAAAATTCTACTTACATTTGAAATCATCTTTAATGTGTGTATAATATGTTTTGTCCCCTGTAAAATTGAGTTTCAATATCAATCAAAGGCAAACTTTATTTTTTGAGATGAAAGGTGAGAAATTAATTTTTGCTGCTTTGTTCATTTCGCTGAAATCTCAGATGGCAAATTATATAAACTGGAGCAAGGGGAAAGAATGGGATAGAATAGGAATAGCTCTTTTTTCGTATGATTTGTGACAGTGAAGTTAAATAAATCGAATATGAAAAAAAAGCAGCAGAATTCTAAAACTAGGCCATAACGAAAAATAACTAACTAATCCCATACCCTACATGGAATGGAAACCGAATGAGTGTCCGTGGTTCCATATGATTAAGACGTCTTATCGGCTTTCCTCTCCCCAGGGATAAATAGGTAAATCCTATCCTATAACATGAATCCTGATAAAATCATACCAATCATATTTTTTCATTCTTTTGTCTATGATCCAATGCATTCAAAATTTTATTTTTTGAACATGATTGCAATAATAACTCACCCATATCCATGTTGACCTCACTTCCCTATAAGGTAATATATGTGTTGTCACCAGCTGCAAGCAATGCATTAAGCTGTCCACCGAGGACGTTTTTCCCCCAATCAACAAATTTATCAAAGTAATCTTGGTCGGATTTATGAAGCTTATCTGCAAAATATAATACAGTAGTAATAGAGCATAAGGATATTGAGAGTAATGATATGCAGATGTTTTATTCCAAGTTTAATACAATTCTTTTCCCATATGTTTGTTTTTGACAATTAAGAAGTGATTCAAGTTACAAACTGCAAATAGATGATAGACTCCAAAGTACTGGAGGCATATGGAAGAATCTAGCAATGTTGCAATTTAATATTAATACTTGAGATTAATTATTGAGATTTACAAAAACTATTTCAAATTCAACGTCTGCCAGAAAATTTAGTATATATTTAAAAAAACATTCAGGGATAATTCATGTAAAATCCATCACAATTATGTATAGGGTTTGGATCTGGCATAGTGCACACTTTTTCAAGTTTCAAGGCAAAAAAGCGGAACTTGAGTAAATGTGCTCTATTACTACATGAAATACAAGTGGTTAAAGTAATGTGCCTACACAAGAGTTCAAAGCAATCTGTAACATAACTATTGGAAATTGAAAACTGCTCGGTCACTTTTTTCTCATTTTGATGCACACAGTTTTCAGACATGGTAGTGAACATTGTGAATTTGATGTTTGTCAGATTTTGTAAAGTTGAAAAATTTGTTCAATAGTTTGGGTCAAGTTGCAATAGTTATAAATAAACTGATAAATTAAGGCCGATTGAGCAACTACAATAGCGGAATTAATTTTTGAGTTATGGCTACATAAATTAAATTTTTCTGTAAACCCTCTTGTCCATGGCATATAAAATTTCCACTGGTTTGTTAAAATCTAAATCATTGTTTAATCAGAAATATTTTAAAGCTGACATAACTATTGGAATTTAAAAACTGCTCAGTCGCCTTTTTCACATTTTCATACACACAGTTTTCAGGCATGGTTGTGAACAGTGTGAATTTGATCTTTGTCAGATCTAGTATTTCCGAAATGCAGGTAAAATTATAAATGTCTTTTTGTCTTTTTCAATGTTCGGGTCTACTTGTAGTTAAAAAAAATCTGCTAAAATTCGCTATAAGTTTTTTTTTAAGTATTATATGTTATTGTTTCAACAGGTGTAGAAAGGTTGATAACTAATGTCTATAACACATGATGCAGGGTGGTTCACGTAACCGCTGGTCGATTACTGCCTTCTCCAACAGCAAGTCCATGCATCTAAAACAGGGGTTCCCAATCCGCGACCCACGGACCAAATCTGGCCCGCGTAACGATTTAAAATGGCCCGCCAAGCTTGAGTGAAATAGTGTTCAACAGATTTTGTTTCTACTGTTTAGCGATCTAGATACCGCCAATTGTTATCGGGCAGTAATTTAGTTATCAGCTGTATTGGAAAGCTTATAGTTATAGATGTCAAATAACAAACATTAACTAGACTTTGAAAATAGACGTTTCTTGGATAAATGGCAGCTATCGTATTTCTGTATTGAAAAGAATCAAACCTCAGCGATTTGTCCATTTTACCAATAAACTATTCCAGTTCTGAAGAAATGCGACATACAGCGCACTATTACGAGTTAAACAAACATGTTGAAAAAAAATGGAAAATGGAATCCTACTGAACCCAGCTAATACGTCGCGCACTTTCGGGCCCTACACTCTTCCAGCCCGCGAACATCCTTACTATTTTAAATTTGACCCGCGACCAATAAAATTTGGGAACACCTGATCTAAAACAATTAACTGGCTAACTAATCCGATAACCGCCATGGACTGATAACCGGACGAGATGCCTTGGTTCGTCATATGATTGAGTCATCATAGGCTCATAGCAGCTTTCTTCTCCCCCAGGACAAATATGTAAATCATATCCTATCCAGGGTTACTAAATTTTCTCAAATCCCTGCTAAGCGTACGATTCGTACCAGTTTGGAGCAACTCATTTTTGCCGTCATCCATTTTATTGTTTTATTTCAATGGAAGCTATAGTAGTTAACCAGTTGTTCCAGATGCTTGAACTTCAATAAAAGAGGAAGGAGTCTTGCATTTAGTCATCCCCACTAGACTTATACCCAAAAATTGTAATTAAATGTCGTACAATGACAATCATTCAACAAAATTGTAGAATATGGTATCACTTACTTTCAAATTGTTGAGGTCTTGCTGCTACAGATTTCATGTCAACATTATTGTCAACATCAGTGCTCAAAGAACAATCATGCCAATAGTCAAAATCTAGTAATAAAAGATAAAATTTAGAAATTTTTTGAAATAAATAGAATATTTGTTTGAATTAAACAGGATACTAAATAGATTTGGGGTGTAAAATAATGAAATATTTTATTGGGAATCAAAATATGAACAAAAATTTCTAAAAACTGAAATGCAGATTACAAATCTTCACAAATCACATGCCCCCACGGCCCAGTATGCTCCACAGCTTTTCATTTTAAGGGGGTGATTTAAATTTAGGGGGTGGTGGAATAGTGATAATAGCAATAGTGGAATAGTGATTAATAGTGATACAAATCTATAAGATGTGGTATGTATGTATTTATCTGATCATCTTCACTAGCATATGAGCCATTTTTTGAATATTCAAATACATTTTTATTTATGTTAAGAATTGAAGTAACACCTAAAAAGTAGGAAGCTTCACCCCCTATAGGAGGAGGGGTGTAGGAAAATTGCACCACTCATGGTGTATTAAATTGGGTAGATAATGACAATAGACTATCCTTTAAAATTGTGGTTTATCTGAACATTATAGCTTTCTACCATTAGCAAGATATCCGTGAATGTTTATACAGGGCCCTGTTCAGAGCAAAATGCATGAGGAAGCGTTGTATGAGAACTATCTCTGTATTGTATTACGGTCCATAATTTACTCAGACTGTCCTAAGGTGTAATCCCATGGTGTAATAAATTGGGTAGACAATGACGATGGATGATTCTTTAAAGTTATGGTTTTTTCAAACATTATAGCTCTTCACCTATAGCAAGATATCCGTGGATGCTTATACATGACCTTGTTCAGAGCAAAATACATAAGAAAGCGTTGTATGAGAACTATCTTTGTATTGTGGTGCATAATTTACTCAGACTGTCCTATGGTGACTTTATTGAACAAACTACAAAAATTCAAAAAAGAGATGAGGCTTTCTGATGACGAGAAATGTCTCACTCTCGATATTCACTGAGAAAAGTATTTTCTTGTTATATGATAGGATTGCATTATACTTTAAAAATACCATAAAATGACCCTTTTGTCAAAATTTATGTCTATTTAACCAGCTCCAAACAAATTGTAAAAATCAGAGGTCCAATCAAACTGTAGGGTAGCATGAGCCAAAAATGTCCCAAAATTCTGACAAAAGGGAAAATTGACAATATTGTTCCACTGCTCAGTCGATATAAAATTTCACTTAAACTAACCTGATGTTGTCCTTGTGTCTCCTAACGTCATATTAACATCATGCGATTTGTAGGTTAACTTGCGCTGACCTAATGAAATAGAAATAAAAGAATTTGGTTTAGAGGTGGGATAACTGGCACTTCATGCTAAGCATTAGAAACACTTTTGAAATCGCACAGTTCCTTACCAAATACAGCTTTGCAGGTCACTACAAAATCTTATGATTAAAATCCAATTTTAAGAGAGTCTACGATTAGCAAAAAACAATGCTGGAGTATGGTTTACCACATATATCTATGTTGTATACAAAATAAATAAAAATTCCCCATCTCGCCATGTTAGTGGCGAGGTGAATGTAGTTATAAAGGATGTCTCAAAAGTAAGTATGCACTTTTAATTTTGATTTGCTTTTAAGGTACTCATCTTAAAGCGTTCATTTTGTCAAAAATTTAGTATAGATAAGTAGTAAAATTTAGGTATTGTTTGCATTTTTCATCAACCTTAAGAATGATAAGGAGATTAAGCCAAGAAATGAGTTGCAAAATTGCTGTTTGGCAAAAAGCATATAAATCAGTAAAGCAAACTCTGCGCCTCTTTACCAGAAAATGTGAAATTAATTTGTCTCCTACAACAGGGAAGTGCAATCTGCGGCATGCGGGCCAAATGCGGCCCACAAGCAAAAATTGTGCGGCCCGCGAAGAAGTGCTGAATTTGAATATTCACTGTGCAGTCCAGGAAATTTTTAATTTACCGGTAGTTAAATCTGGAAAATGAGAATAATTCCAATCCATTGCGTTGCGAGGGATATGCATGGGTCCAATCATTTCATTATCTATTCCCATAACACCTAGCATGTTCAAAGATGGTGTTGTAAGAGATAAATGTAGGAAACCTTTGTTTACACTTGAATTGTTAATCATAGTTTGCACTGGACAAAAGAGATGAGAACAATAGAGAGTCTGGCATAAAAAGCGGGCCAATTTCATAGGGGGCTATTGTATAAAATTTATTGTCGACATGTCTCAAAATTCATGATGTCATGATAATTATAAATTTTTATTGAATTCACAGACTTTTTCATATGATTATGAAAATAAGGTTGCTGGACTGCAGCAGGTTGATTTCATTAACTAATCTGAAAAGGTTTTGACCTTCTTTATAATTTGTGTGTGCAAGTATGAAATCATTGGCATTTATTCTAAATTGAAAGTTTAAATGTTTAATTAGTAAGGGTAAGGTGGTAATTTGAAGCATGGCGCTCACAGATAAATTGAGATTTATAACAAAATTGAACTAAAGCAAAAAATTATCTTACAGATAACATTCTCATGCCATAATGTTCTACAATTTAATGGGTGGTGGGTAACACATCGTACTAAGTAACATCATGCACATGGTAGGTTATATTCCGCCAACCTAATAGAATGGGAATATAAAAAATCGATACAGAGGATTGACAGATGGTGCATTATGCTGATCAATAAAACACTAACGACATTGCACAGCCAATTGCAACTTTGATAAACAAAAATATGGTGCTCCAGAAATGTATGTACCAATATGGAGGTACTACGGTAATTTTGTTCGCTTCTTTTACATCAAGTTGTGTAAATGGACTGAAACCTATGGGCAGGGGGAATATTCACTTGGCTATAACAGAGGCTAGAACAAAAATAGAGGAAATTCTGGCCTAACCCTAACCTGGTACACATACTATGGGAGTATTAGAAATATAAACACTTTATTCAGACAGTGCATTTATTACGATAGGCAAAAGGAACATTTTGCTTTGCACTGATAATATTTGCAGAAAAGCTGCGAAGTTGCTTACATATCTTCTAGTTGGTTATGACTTTTTGATGCCATAAATCTGATTAATGTTAAAATTCCTTACATCTTGAGTTGAGTCATTGAGCATTCAAACCTCAGCATTTATGCTGATCAATAAAACACTAACGACATTGCACAGCCGATTGCTACTTTGATAAACAAAAATATGGTGCTCCAGAAATGTGTGTACCAATATGGAGGTACTACGGTAATTTTGTTCGCCTCTTTACATCAAGTTGTGTAAATGGACTGAAACCTATGGGCAGGGGGAATATTCACTTGGCTATAATAGAGGCTAGAACTAAAATAGGGGAAAATTCTGGCCTAACCCTAACCTGGTACACATACTATGGAAGTATTAGAAATATAAACACTTTATTGAGACAGTGTACGATAGGCATAAAGAACATTTTACATTGCACTGATAATATTTGCAGAAAAGCTGCGAAGTTGCTTACATACCTTCTAGTTGGTTATGACTTTTTGATGTCATAAACCTGATTAATGTTGAAATTTCTTACGTCTTGAGTTGAGTATTGAGCATTCAAACCTCAAGTTGAGATCGAGTCACAAAAAAAGTTTGAATTCAAATTTATAACGAATTTATAATGAATTCGAAATTATACAACTATTTTTCTTGAAAGGCAAATAACAATAAAATAGTGCAATAAATTTTAAGTTATGACAATGAAGATTAGGGCTGTAAGTCAAGAATATTTTATTTGAATAAAATTTTAAATGGGAATGTTTCATGCCAAAATTGCGATGATTGAGAAGTGTTTTAGCATTTTAGATCTCAAAATCTTTCATTCAATTTTGAGATTTTCAGCTTCATATGATATTTCATCATATCAAATGCGATTTTTGTCAGGTTTTCTAACAGTGAAAAAGGGCTCACCAAAGAGCTACTGATACATTGAAAGCTACTATTTTGTGAAGACTAATTAAATATTCAGTCCAACCTTGGTTTTCGTCCTCTTTTCCAGAACTTTCTGGTGCCTCAGGCGAGGTTGATGAAGCCGACATTTTTTCACATTTTAAAAATACGGTGGTAAGCTTGCATAAAATAACTACTTGATATATTAAACTCAGCAATATTCTAGTAAAACAAGAAACATAGTTATATTACATTCAATAGTTTGAGAACAACATGTTGAACTTCGCTATGTTGAAATTTTTATGGCATAGTGGTCGGAATATTAGAAATAATATGTTAGAGATCTATGATTCAAAATCTATGCCCAACGCCTTATCTACGGTGTGATGAGTGGGACGGATTTCGTTGATTTCAAACACAGGGTGACATCTTCTTGGTACTGTAGTGGTGTCTAGTCCACAGCTTTGTTCAGAGCAAAAGTGAAAATGTCGGATGAATTACATAAACAAAACATCACTTTATGTATGCTCATCTGACTAGGTCTCTTCATGAATCATGTCACAGATACACGGCCCATCTGTGGCACATTTATAGAGAAATGGAAACAATTTTCGGACTGCAATGTTAGGTCGCCGAAAAGACACATTATCCACACCTATGGCACCCATTTTCGAATGTAGCAACTATCCCCATACAGTCATTTTAAAGTATTGGAGAATCTATACCGCCATATAATGGACATGGAAAATCTGTATAATGAGAAATAATGTGAACACAACTCGTCAATTCAATCTCTTGGTCCTGAAATATCTTGACTATGTCTCTGTGCAATTGGCAGTACAGCAGTATATGCGGTACCGCAATAACATTATATGTCTGATATCTGAATATGTTGCTTTAGTGAATCGCAATGTCCATGCATAACTACAATTTTCAATACGTAGTAATAAAAAAACGCCCCGAAAACGCACTGCTCGCTAAATAAATCCTGTTAACCTACTGGCAATATTGCTCTTACTGTGGCGAAGTAAAGTAACCTCAAATACTGAGTTACAGAACGAGCGAGAGTCACGATAAATTTATGTAACTACAAAAGGAAATGGTACTGCGGTAGCACCGATTATACAAAACCAGGGTATTTTCCTAAATCCATCCCGAGGTTATTCGACGCGCGCAAACATTTCACAGTGGTTATTCAATAAGTGCGGGCCACACATGCTCGCGCGTTTATACTTTAGAGGCGTACCTAGAATCCATAATTGGACTTTTGTGTAGTTCTTAGATCTAACAACAAAACCTAAAAAAAGACATGAAGCACTATCTAAAATAGCAATGCATTTATCGCTTAGCTTTAGCTAATTTAGTTCCTTGTTCACATACTCACTAAAAACAATGGTTTTTGTCAAGAAAAGGAATGAGTTGCGCAATTAACGACATTGTAGTGCCGGTGTGTCAAAAATTCCGTGTCCCACCTGCCCCACACTTGTATGAATATAATTTTATATGAATACGCAAACATTCTGCCAAAGTATTCCAGCATGAACAAAATATTTTTATGCAACCCATGAACACGAAAAA